ACAGAAGAGACTGACTTTGTGCTTTAGAAAAGGGACTGCTGATTTACTATTTCCACTTGTTTAGTGATGTACTGTTTGAAATGGGAAAATAGTTTCCCACTCATGCAACATCCAATTTAAGGAGTAACTTCATCCTGAGTAAGATATTTTTCTTTGATTGAACAAAACAGCGGTTAATGTTTTTTTCCTTTATGGCATTTGTGGCTCAATAACAGGGTGTATCTATAAGAAGCAGGACTCTGGAATTCACAAATGTGTAAATATATGTGCTGTAAGAATTTTTGTAAATAAAGATCTGCATTTTTATATTTTGTGACCTGTGTATTATATTATTGCTGTGCACTGTAGAACATAAAAAACACATATCATGTTAAAGATAAAATTTTCCCTGACAATAGGAAGTACAAAATGTATTATCTGCTTGCAAGACAATCCTGTATCAGGACTGATTCTTGATTTGATATTTTATCATTTTATCCCCCCCCCTATTTAATTATTCATACTCCTCTATTTTGTGACAATATTAATATACTAAATATAAGTTACATGTCCACTGATGTGGTCCTTAAGTGTAAAAAGTAAGAAAAGTTTTATTCTGCATTTTTTCATATGAGAAAAATCATAAAAGCTGAACTGTAACACCCTTGTAGAGAACAACACATCTATGCTATTATTGTAAATATTCTATTACTTGAATGTGGGGGCATAAAAATGATCTACATACCTGTTTGATTTATTAACACAGATTTCTGCACCATTTGGAACAAGTTCCTTGACTTCTGTTACACCATAGTTGTCCATTGTGATCTGTTACACAAGGAAAGAAAGTATTATTTAATAACATTAATATATCAGCACAGTGGTTCGCCGTCCAGATCCTCAGAGATCCCTGTGTCTCCCGGTTTCTGTTCCAGTTCTTAATCACAGGCTAAATTACTGGCGTTACAAAATGGCGTTTGTAATTTTCGAAAAAAGTCTAAACTAGCAAGCAGATCTGTGATAGGTAACAATTAGTACTGGTGATTGAGGGGCCAGCCAAAACACAATCCAGCAGACCAGGTTTACTTCAAGACCAGGATTCAGAACCACTGCATTAGCAAATATCGTATATGATAAAGAATGAAGCCAATATGTGTTAGCTGTTAAACCTGGTAAGCTTTAACCCCAGAGCCAAAACAATAAAATGCAGTGTGAAACACTATTCTGTACATACTGATTTAACCACAAGCTGAAAAGAGAACTCATGCTCTCTTTATGTTAACTACTGTTGTCAGGAAAGTTATTTCTAGCTCAGAGATATCTTGCAATACTTAAAACACACTTTACAAACACAATCTTAAATCTCCACAAGTGAACTTGAGACTTTTTTAATTATGATGGAGTAAGGGACCTATACACACTATACAGTGGATAAATTAATTGACACTGACAGCGACGATTAAAACAACAATCTCCGGAAGAAAAACACTAAAAAACACTCACAAAATAGACTGCCAAAACAAAAGACCTTCTGATTAACACGTGCAATCATACCGTAAAATTTAAACAAAAGACTTCATCCAGATCATCTTCTGTGTAATCCAGTAATTCCTGCAAATTCCTGTGGAGACAAATGATACTCTATATAGGATTTGTTGATTTGGGAGAAATCTTGACAAGATGAAAGACAAACTGTAACTGCTTTTGGTCATTACTAACCTCCCAACATCAGGCATCAGCTCCTTCAGGTCATCTAGTGTTGCGGTCTTTTTAAGCAGCTTTTTATAAAGGGCCAGGGGGAACTGCAGCTCAATGATCGTTAGGTTATAGATTGCCAGACCACAGATTGCTCCAATTAGATAGAACAAATCGATTTCTTCAAAGGTCTTGAACAGAAAAAAAAAAAGATTTATTAAACTTTTCAGAAAAGAACATAGTTATGACTGCACAATACAATGCAAGTTGGCAGGGAGTCTTATATAAAAACATGTCTTAAGCAACTATAGAGCAACATAATGAAGATATTGGGCATGGAAGGTGTTTAAAATGCAATAGTCTCACCTTGTCTGAAAACCAGATAAGCCTGGACTCTTCGTAATATCTAAACATTCCATACTTGGGGTCCAGCAACTCTCTCATTATCAGCAAAAAGAACTCCTTACGAACACCTCCTGCATCTACTGCCTCTTCTCCAACAAAAATCACCTGGAATAAAACCGCAAGCAGTACAGCTGCTAGAATGGTAATGTGACATAAATGCTCATGCTTTCCAATTAGTACCAGTGTTCCAATTAGTACTGGTGTGGCTTTGCAATTCATGTTTTTGAGATCCTAATTTTAAAGAACCTTAAAAAAAAATAGCACCCCTACACAACACAATGCACAATCTATACAAAGATCGCAACAAAAGTTGAAATCTTGCTAAAATATATTTAAAGAAAAAAACAATAATAAAATTATACATAAATAAGATACATAAATACACAATTTCAAACTTTTTAAAAATATTTTAAAAAAGGGTAACCACAATAGCATAAAATTAAACTATAAAGGAATGTTTCACACTTAAAATATACTAAAGTATTTTGCAGAAAATGAAAGATTTCAAAAGCAACCCTGCAGGACAACAATATATATTATACTATAAAAATAACTCCTTGGCTGCCTTGTATAATTTTGTAAAATAAGGTGGAAACATAACCTGTCTCACATACCTTTAAAGGCTTTTTGTAGTCCACATTCTTAGATTTCCTCAGCACTTCCATGGTGTCTCCAACAATGTTCTCCCTTCTAACGATGAGTATCAGACAGGGGTTCACAGATTCTACCACCGGCAGGAACAATGAGGAGAAGTTCTGCCTCTGGGCTTGATCTACTGCCATCTGGAGCCAAGAAGAAAATAATCAGAACTTCCATCCTTTTTGAACAAGAATAGGTTTGTCTTTATGTGTGCAACAAAGCTCTTTATTACCACTGGAATAACAGTTCATCAGACAATCTGTATATTGCTGCTGGGACAGGCTTCAGCTCATGATACAATGGATGTATAAAACTATATGTAACATAGAAGGATACATTTTATATATAAGGACCAGAGGTCCTTGGCATACAGAGCAGTGGTGCAACAGATGGCATATTTTGAGGCCTTAAACTCATTACAAACAGTATTTAAACCATAATGGTACTGTATACAGACATATCTAAATGAAAACTGAATATTTTTGTAGTTTTAGTTAAGTCTTGTCAATTGTTATTTTTTACACTGTATGGATTCATTTTAACCCAGTGTTCCAGTATGTTTCAAATTCTGTTGCTTGCCCATTCCATCATGCTTCTCTTAGCCTGTAATAAGATATTACCCCATAATCATATGTTTGCCTTTATGGACTATATATCACCCTTAACAAGTGTTTACCTGGAGTTTAAAGAAGTGTGAGAGTAGTATACTCAAGAATAAGTGCACAAGATCCACCCACAGAACATCCTCACCTGCATCTGTAACACTGCATCTGTCTGCAGCAATGTTGTCTTCGCTGGGGCATCAAATACAAAAGGGTATGTACAAATGGTGACTGGAATGTCTGGCATCTGAAAAGACAGTTTTTCATAGTAGATTTTTCACAATGAAATTGTGTAAAAGGGTTGAAAAAGCATTCGGTAAAAGAATTATTCAAATTCTTCAATAACATTGGTTGAACAATTTAGCTTTTTTTCCCCCATTCCTGCAACTCCGGTTACACTAGGAGAATCGGAAATGTTCATGGATTTTAACCAGTCTTCCACATAATCTCTCACTGTGGCTAGAGTTGTTGAACGGCAAAACTATGACATGAGGATGGACTGACAAAAGCCGCACATGATGCATGTCTGCCTAGATTCCTGATACAGACACCCATCTTACCTCTAATCCACGGTTGAGGTCCTACAAAAATGGCAGCAGAAAGAAATTTAAGATAAAAAAGAATTAGCACCTCATCTGCACTGTATAGGGTGGGTCCCAGAATAATAAACACTGCCTAAATGATGCTGTAAGCGTGCCTTTACTTCTTCATACATATTAGCACACAAATAGTACTGTTCCTAAGACTAGTGACTGTTCACTCTATTTCACAGTAACATGGCACAAAAAGACTATTTTTAATTTAAAAGTTTCAAAGTATGAGTATACCTAGTATGGTTTTTTTCCAAAATACCACACTGTACATTCATGGAATGACATGAAATAAAACTTTAGAATCCTGTAAATTAATGTATGCCACCTGGCATTTGAGGCCAACTATAAACTAGTGTGTTTCTGATTCTATCAAATTATACTCAAAAAATGTTTTCTTTGAATTTGAGTTTGTCAAATAGGTGCTAATATTTTGCCCTAGTATTAGTGCTTTTTTAATCTGAACATCTGAACCCACGCCTGAAAACTTCTGTGAAAGAAGAAAAATGCTGCCTCACTTAAAACAATTGTCTAAGCGAGCTCTGTTAACAGCTTATCAGTAAGATGAATAAACTAGAATTGAGCAATGATGTTAACACTTTTGACAACTTTGAAAAGAGAGAGTGGGTCACAATCATCAAATCAACAGAAACCCTCTTAACATGCAGACTACAGGGGGCTTAATGATAATCATTTATAACCGCACTATACAAGAAGAGATTGGATACACTGAAATAAAATGTTTAATTCTGTTTCTTATAAAAGGCAGATGTACATTTTCAAAAAATGAATTTAAAGAATATATTTAAAAGAATACATGACGAGAAAAGTAACAACAACTGTGTGGATATTGTTGCAAAAAACTGATTATTATATGAAAACATATTTCCTGTTAATTCTGAAAAGTCTTTGCAAATCTGTAAATTTGATTTTTTAATCATTTAAGTTTGAAAACTTTACATCTGCTAAGGTGTAAACCCCAGCTAGTTCAATTTCAAACCACAGTATATTTTTAATCTATTCTTTAATCACAAACATGATGAGGAAAAGAAGGAACCAAAAATGCAAATTTAGGACAAATGAGACTTTCTTACCATTACTTTATTACATAAAAAACTTTAAAAGTAAAACATTCCTTTTAAGCCCAGTTATTTTAATTCACTTGAGTCAAATGTAACAACAATGTCATTACTTATACCAAAATGTAGCCTATATAAATTGAAATTCACTGTCAAAACAAAGTCATTATTTTTTTCTTACCATCCCATACATCTGTTGTTGGATCCAGGTGATGTAGTCATTCTTAATATCGATGAGGGACTCTAACTCATGGATATAGAACTTGTCATACTGTATAATTTGAGCAGCTTTCTCATTAACCTAAAAAATAAAAAACCCACCATAACTCTTCATAAATCTTTGGTAAACAACAATTAAGAAATCATTCTAAATTTGCATCATTGTGAACTCTGGCTGTGTTTTTTTGGAAGAAGCAAACACTTTTAAAGATTAACCTTGGTGAAGATCTGAGTTAAATACAGCCCTTAACACACCAGTGACTGTAAAACCCAACTTGTAATTAAAGGACCCTGATGGCTGACAGAAGCTACTACCAGAAAATCACCATCAAAAACATTATATCTGTTTATCTATATCTTAATTAAGTCAGAACCAGGCTTACTGTAAGACAGACCCTCCACCTACAATAATGCATGTGCACCAAGTCTTATGTCAACCCAAAACGTCCTATCGTAAAACAAATCAGACACAACCCCAGCACAGCAGGTCACACTGTGAGCCTTGTGACATTTCCTCAATGTTTGGTGAGACTGTTAGTCTCAGAATTCAGAACAAAATGGAAATACGCTTATATCCAGGTATAAGAACGTTCGGTATACGAATTTTCGCTAATCCGAACATGAAGACTTCGTACCTTGGAATTCATCTTAAGAACGTAATTTTTCTAATGCGAACTTTGAAGTTTGAAGGTGACCGATTTTGGCCGAGAACTTTTAGTTTAGGGAAAACAAATGGATACTTGCTAGGAATCAATTACAATGAGATAAAATATATACTTTCAGTAATAAAAAATACCATAATTTGAAATACCATACCTACCATACCATATAGAATGTGTCTATTTCTCAAATAAAAAATGCAAATGAGAGCTAAAAAGGCCATGTAGAAGACGAGTATCTGCAAAGTAAACCTAGCATGCTCACAGCAGCCTCTTAGTTTACTGCTAAGTCTTGATAGCCACTCAGTCATAAACATGCTATGTTTTTGGTGGAAAGAAAAGAAAGTGGTAACTTTGTCTTTTGTTTCTACTCACTCTGTGGAGAGTCTCCAGAAATTTCAGAGCAATATGCAGGAAGGAATTGAATATTCCCCGTTCAGGGAGTGGGATTCCAATCTTCTGCATCTTCAGTAGGCTCACCACTACATCCTTGTAGAGCTCAACTAACCTTTGGAAGACTGGAGGCTCAAACTTCGACCACCAGTTTTCTGGAAGACACCAATAAGATGACAATTAAATGTCAAAGTCTGCAAAATATAAGGTAAACAAAATCTCCAGATCCAGTTCCATGTGGTAGAAAAAAAAAAGTTAGCCTACTCCAATATCTACCCCACTAGTGTTTGATGGTCAATGTTAAAATTAAAAACTTACAACCATTTCTTTTAAATATAAACCTCCTTTTCAACTTGCCTAATACAAGTCCACTTAGCTGCCAATAAATAGCAGTACTACCTCTAAAAATCCTGGCAGCAAATTTAATATGTTCACTTCAATTTAAAAATAAATACAACTACAATGCTCAAGACACATTTAGTATAAGAAAATTTATTTAGTATAAGAAAAACTATTAATATAAAAAGGTAAGAATTCCAGGGTTGTAAATACCTAGCCATGATGTGCAATAGTGAATCAAAAAGGCAAAGTTACTGACTCATTGTAAAGATCTCTCCAGTTGAAGAGAAGCAATTATCCATTTCACTATCCTATTTCTACAAATATGAAGAAAATTACTTTTTTTAAAAACCTCAGGCTTTGCCACATGACTGGCCAAGATTTGGGGCGGACGGGTAGGTGTGGTCAAGAATGTTTCTATAGGTCACCCTTAATTTGTTGCAAAACACATAGAAGAATTTTGTTTTTACTTCTTAAGAATGAGATTATTGCAATTAAGTAGTCTAGAGGTCAAATTAAATGAAACTACCAACATTGTGGAGCTCTCAAGGACCACAGATGGTCACTCTGGAATTCATTAAACTGTATTAAACTAATCCAATTTCACTTGTCTTCAAAAGCTTTGGTAAGCAATGTTTTTAGAGTGATGTGTAAGACGTGTTGGCTTGTCGTTTTCAGGACCAGGGATGGTCACACCTGATCTATTGCATCTTTGTATCTGGTAAAGTGGTGGCTCCTGTGATGTTAGATGTGCCAACATCAGAGAGACATGTGACATTTTTCCTATCAGTACCTCCTATGACTGGATACCTCCTGTGGTACCTCCTGATACCTCCTGTGAAGCTTTCAGCTTTGTAAAAGATCAGTGGTTGATATGGCAGGGGTCATAGGCTTAAAAAACTGGCAAGCCCACACTGAGTGGGTATATAATTAAAAAAACTGTAGTTCCAAATAAAAAAAAAAAGTCTTGATAAAAAAAACTGCTACTAGAACACGTTCAGCTATTTAATAAGTGTTACCAGGGAAAATATCTGGCATCTAATATTCCTATATCTATAGTTTAATCATGTTATAAATCCAAAAACCTTAAAGAGGAAATTTGGTCAAATACCTCTCCATCTTTACAAAGGCATCTTTTCAGGTTCAGAAACAGGAGGCTGTTACAGGAGGCCCAATCTGTGAGACTGGCAGTGTGGAGATGGTTTTGATTATATGGTTAATATAATACTATGATCTTCTGAACTGCAGTTAGCTGTAATTTATGTTTTGAATAGAAGTTTTACAATGACCCTGAAACTAAGAGAAATTTACCAAGTACTTTCAGTGGCGCTTCCTTCAGAGTGACAACAGCTCTGCCAAACGGAATAGAGAGAGTGATGAAGTTGTTTGGGTCACTAAAAATTGGGCACTCGGGCAACGTGAGGTACAGTCGCAGAGCTTCAACATCTGGAGGAGAGTTGGTAAGTTTAGGAATCAGGTTCTTTTCCAAGCTGGCAGCAACCTTGCAAGAAAAAAGGGAAATTGCAAGCCTTATACCAAAAAATGCAAAAGCAGATCCTTTTGGGAGCTTACCCTGCAGTGGCTCACATCAATACAACATTGGTGTCATAGGTTAAAAAAAAAACTTAGTGGGAAAAGCAAATATTTATATTATTAGACTACCATGAAGGACAGTGAAAAAAAGGCTTACAATTCAAATCACACATACCACAGCTCAGTAAGAGACAGTATGACTTGAAGGATTTTAAAAAATGCAACATGCAACATACCATTACACTCAGAAATAGTGAAATTGCCAGGCACAGTGTATTCCATGACAACTGGAATTAAGAAAGCTTCTAAATGTATTCATTTATTTCTCAATTGAACTTTAGGGTTAGGGTTAGATTGTATTTTGTATTTTTCTCTGAAACGAAAAGTAGGCAAGGTGATGCATTTTATATCAATTAAACATTCAAAAAAATTCAGGGCTTTAAATAAATTCAATGAATCAATATATGTCAGTAATGACCCCGTAGACGTTGTTCAGTTCATGATAAAACATGCATTATTTAATGGTTCAGACAAACTAGATAAAGGTGACCTTCTGACTGTCTATCATCATATTGAAAAATTAGAAATAACATAATTGAGGTAACCACTTTATTGGGTCTACATGACCTGAAGGGTTTTTCCTCCACTAACCTGCTGCTTGATTTGTGGGTTATCAGTCTGGATCAGTCGGTGAAATAAAAGACGTGCTGTGTTCATATCCACCCCTGAGAATTTACTGCTGGTTTTGTAGTGATCTGGATTGCTGGGAAAAAGAAACCACAACAATTTTCCCCCTAATGTACTGCTCATCCTCTGATTCTACAGTAAAAAAAAACTAAAATCAAACAAGGGTCTTAATAGTTATTTATTATTTGAATTGCATATCCATCACGCAGTGCTTTCTACGGGAACAGCAAAGTCAAATCTGTTATTTGTGCTTTAACAAGCATTTTAGATTTTTGATCATAAGATTAATATGACCAACTACAGTACTATATACATTTTATTTTTGGGCAATTCCAAGTAAAAATGTGATTTTTAAAACAAAAACATGTTTACACTCCTGTTCAATCCAGTGATTTTGAGTGACTTAAAGTATTGGGACATATTCACTCTGTAAAATGCACAATGTACCAATTTTAAAGTGGATAAATGAAAGTGTAAAAGCAAAACAAAAAGTGAAGTTGAAGTGGAGAAAAGGAGTGTTAGAGAAAAATATTAAAATACAAAAGTAAAATAGAAAATGACTGCTTTAAATACAAGTTTTATTTTCTATACATGGGGAAAAAAAAATACTATGCATGCCAACATGCTCCTCTTTATCTTTGAAAGGTGGGATTAGTATTACTGGCAAAGAAAAAAAAACGGAATATGTAGAAGTCACTGGTGTGTCAAAGCTATTATAATATAATTTATTAACACTAATGTTTTTAATAATAATAATAAAAATATTTCGTGTTCAGCATTACCTTACAGATAAGAAGCTTCCATTAAGACAGCCTGCAGAGGAAAACACTAAATCAATCTCACTGCAGAGATATAAGAAAAAAAGGATATCAGTTATTTTTTATTCAGTTTTACAAGCGCAAACTTTCAGGTCCAAAAAATAAGAGCGATTATTGAAAGTTTTTTTACTCCATGTTCAAAATACCTTCATGATGTTTCTCCACAAAGGTAAAAGTTCAGATGTTTCATAAACTTCACAAATTTAATGATGCATACTAAGTATTCTAGCAATGCTTGGTCAAAATGGTGGATATTCTCAACTCACTAGCCTATCATTCTTGGGTATGATGCACAAAGCATGCACTACACACTGAACATAGCTCCATTAACATGTAATGGAGCATTTTATCAAACCTAATGTGTTACATAGATTTTAGGCATTAACAAATAATCAATAACTGTGAGTTAATAAGAATGGCAAACACCATATCACACATACTGCAAAAAATTCTGCAGTTTGAGGAAATGTACAAATACACTCATACCCGGTATAAGAATGTTCGGTATACAAAATTTTCGCTTATCCAAACTGAAGAATTTTTACCTTGTAATTTGTTATTAGAACGGAATTTCGCTAGCTCATTTCGATTTCGGCAGAGAACTTTCTGCGAACATTTCAATTCAGCAGCACCTAACAGCTGTTTGTTTCTGCAGGGGTGCAAGGCATTATGTTTAAGGACACCGTGAGGCAGCAGTGCTTTGCTTATGATCACCGTGAAAGTTACTGCTCTAATCTTTAAAGTGTTCTTTTGTGTTTGTTATGTAGTTGCTGTTCATTATTGGGTTTTAAGGAAGAGAAAAAGATTATTTTGTGTACTAGTCAACAACAGTATACACATCGTTCTAGCCGATCACTTGGATAGTGATCTATTATGAAAGAATGAAAAATGTAAACATGATATCATTAATTATTTTACAGCTAGTTGGCTTATTTGACGGTATACGGTATTATATGTTTAGGGTGGCTTTTGAGTGAACTTGTCTTCGGTTTGGAACAAGGTGGAGTATTCCCCATAAGAAATAATGGAATCTTTATTTTTGATTTACAAACTCCTGTCTTTCAAATAGATTTTCAGGAACAAATTAGGTTTAGATACCGAGATAAGAGTGCATTGGTAACACTGCAACCTTGACCCAGGATCTCTTACTTGACTATCTCAGGAGGAAGTCTTCCTTGTGCGTGGTTAAGCCACCTCTGAATGAGGTCAGCATTTAAGGTAAAGATTTGCCTGCGAGGGTCTGGGACTCGGACATCATCTGCAGGCATGGCATTCTTAAAAGATAACATAACATAACAAAGATAACATTTTGACATGGGATCATAGTACAGCACATGCTTCCTGGATACACTCAACTAAGGAAGAACAGTATTAATAATAAGCAAATAAAGTATTAATTCCCAAGTGATCATTCTTTCTTTTAGTAAAAAACAAAGAAATGAAACAAAAATACAAATAACTTCTTGACTCAGACAGAAGACAAATTTTAACTGCTTGTATTGTAAACTCAAAATTAAAGTATTCTATGTCTTAACTGTTTGAAAAATCTCACTGTGCATTGGAAACTGTACTTTTAACTCAGTTCTCAATGGTTATTAATTTGGACCTACCTGAGGAGTATAATAATGTGCAAAACTCTGGTCTCCACCAGCATACACTCTCTTCATGCAACAGCATTCTTCAACATCTGTAAAACAGATTAATTCACTATTTCTCTGAACCACAACATGCAGTTCTCTAAAAGCAGATTATTATGGTGGACAAAAATTATCATCTGTGACCACATAGTTCTATTTTCAGTGAGGTACTAGGTGAATCATCTCTAGAAGCAGTGTTTTACCCTTTTCAAGCCTGATTGAGGCATCTTAAAAATATTGATATTTTCTCTATTTCATATTGGCTCTTTTATTTCCGCTGGCTGTGCTACCATCAAGGTCAGCCACTTCTTCAGTCTTTCCAGACCAGTGATTGAAAATGTCTGTTTCTAATGAAGGCAGTCAAAGTGCAGAAAACCAAATGCCAAAAGAAACCTGGCTTTTGGCAAAATAGAAACACATTTAACCTTCTTGGACAAGCTCTCTGGATAAGTAAATGTCTGACTACATGCATAGTAACAGCTACCGTTGATAAATGGCCACTGCAGAAGGTGAAAAATATTGATCCAATGTATTGAACTGAAATGATTTCAGACATGATCTCATAGAGATAAAACTGAAGAATGATTGCTCCAATTACCATAAGTATGGACAGCCTGGTTGACAGTCATGTGCTAATTCTAACCTGTGAATTGTGCGCCTCTGAAGCCAAGAAACATCACTCAATATACTGTAATATCTGACCTGGACCTAATAAAGGAAATTCTCTACTGAATGTTTAGTGAAATTCTTTGTCAAAATACTTTTCCCCATTTTTGTCATGATTATCTCACTTGTATCTGGAGGACATGGTCCATTATAAGGGATCCAGCTGCCCTTCACAGGTGCGGGGCTTTTCCTGTTAGATGTTGAGCGGGTTCCCAGTTGGCCATTTCCTCCAAGACCAAAAGAGTCAATCTTTCCTGAAGAAGGGACGAAAGCTAAAGTGTGTTGCCTGAAAGAAAGAAAAAAGAGGCACTTACCACCACAACTGGGCAAGAAAATAGACTCATTTGACGATACATTTCATAGTACAAACTTTTAGTGAAACATGACATGTTTTGCTTTAAATATTCTTGTTAAGAAACGGGGAAAACTAAGAGTAATATAATACTTGATCATTAAAACACACCAGTTATGTTGTAAAGAAAAAAACTGATTCTATCATCACAAAAAAAATCTTAAGGATGCAGATAAGCTTTTAAAACTCTTTACCATCATCGATTGATATCAATTAGCATGGTCGTAGAATCTTCTTTCTACTTTTCAGTACAGAATTAACCTTTGCTTCTTTCTCTGAATCCTCTTCTATTGTGAGAATTACTCTTCTATTTTTTAGAATTTAATGTTAATGAATAATATAAAATTTAATGAAAAGTCACCATTTATACTGCATATCCCTTCTTCACATATTATGAATGACAGCTAATAAAGTAGAAGCACCGGTTGCACTATTAGTAAAAGCTACAATGCAAAATGCAGTGTTTCCTGTTAGCCATGATGAAATAAGTTTCTGAAATCTAAGAAGATACCCTCTCGCTAGATAATCTAATTTTGTTTTACTCCACAAGTACCAGAGGTGTGTTACTTACCTGCCACATGCAATCTGTGTCACTACATTCCCCATTAACTCAAAGACTTTTCTGGGATTTATTTCATGATTGGTGGTATTGTGACCCAGCTGACCATACCCTCCTGCTCCAAATGTAAAGACACCCCCCTCCTAGAGCGCAGAAAAAACAGAAAAACAAAGGGCTGGTCTAATTAAAATTAAGTATTCATTGGGCATACTGTATTTGCAGATGTTAAGTCTTAAGAACAGGGATTGTCGTTTCTCACTAAGTGCTCCTCGAGAGGCTAAGACACTAAGCAAACTGAAGAACAGGGGTCAGTTTCTTAAATAATGCAAAAAGATTAAGATTTTATCAAATGGACTTAGAAGTCCTACACTATTTTCTAATATAATTTTTTTCTTACTATTTTTGGTGTACCCTCTTTATGTTTGTCACTTCTGTTTGAAATATTTGTTATTTTAATTAATTTAAAGAAAAAAAATATTAAGAAATGTCTTTCTTAAGAAAATGTATTAAGACAAATTAATACTATTAGATAGACTGCTTCCATTTTCAGGACCTATTCTTTGGTGGAAAAAGTCAAAAATATTCAAACAATAGAAAAATAAGTAAGACTAAAATAAGACTAAATCAAAGTGAAAAAACAGCAATATAACTATAATAACATACATAACACAATCCATATATACATAATACAACTAATCTAAAACACTATATAAAAACCTGTATCATGCAAATATTCTTAAACACTGAAAGTGCAACACTGTAGTCATGCCAGTCCTTGCGGGGTAACAAGTGACTACAAGCCAAACCTGGGACAGGAAAAACAGTTCTGAAAATGGCACGTCTACCTTTGTGAGGGCAGCTGTGTGATCCTCTCCACAGCAGATGTACACAATCTTTTGTGTTCGGAGAGATTTAAGAAGTACAGGAACATATTTGTCTGGAAAAGAAACAGTTCAGTTTTATCTCGCTTAGTTGTAGGATCTTGGATGATGGCCAGGCAGACTTGCTTTTTCAAGATAAAAGACCATGTCCATGGTCATGACGTAACAAGATATTTAACTTGTTGGGATTCATGTACATTTACTTAACTTCAATTAAGAGCCTTTTCCACAAAAACACCAGACAACTTCTCTTAAATTTGATTACTTTAACCTCTCACTAGTATTTTACTTTGAAGGAAATACTGTAACAATTGACTGTTAATCATCTAAACAGTCCCAGAATATTTAATACAAAATATTATTTAAACCAATAAAAAAAACTATGATTTCTTTTTTGTCTTACCATTTTCATCATTTAGTCCTAATTGGCCAAACTTGTTGCGTCCCCATCCAAACACTGCTCCTGAGAGAGTGAGTGCAAAACTGTGGGCCCCCCCTGCAGATATCTGAGCAAAGGGGAGCCCCAGTAATGAGCATATAAGCTGAGGAGATGAGTGGCTTTTGGCATCGTTGCCCAGACCCAGCTGGCCATATTTATTCTGTCCCCAGGAGAAGATCTGGCTACCTACACAAATACATTAATGGATTTATCATTTAATAAAACAAAACTTTTATTTAACTTACAAATGCTCTGGGACACATACCCAGTCATCTATCTAGAATTCAGTGAATTCATAGTGCATTAGTTTTCAGTTTCTGACAGATAAAATGACTACAAAAGAGCTGGAACAAGAAAGACCAAACAAAAACAACTGCAACATACTACAGGTACAGAGAACTGGAAACTTTTTCACCACATTTCCATGTTTTTAATATTTCAAGGCTCTGTATTAATTTTGTTCTCACTCAAATAGTACCTCTGTCGGATCCATTGTAAAACGATTTTCAGTTTGTGCTACTGTATATAGTATGGTTTCCTGCTTTGCCTTTTAAAATGTATGATCCCTATAACTGGGCAATTTGGAACTTAACTTCTTCAACAGATTTCATCTTATTGCAGATTTACAAAATGAGCAGGTGAGCCCCTCAATGTCATGGTCCAGATTGGTTGCAAATGTTTACTAATTGCTGTTGATTTAGCAGCACTGTAATTTAATATTCATGACAATAAAGTTTTTTGAATTTGAAATCAGCTACCTTATTTCACAGTTGTGTTAACTACTGGTTAACAGTAGTTTGCATGCTGTCTTGACAAAACAGTTGCTTTTAAAAGAGATACCATCTGAAATTATTACTCAAAATCATGACTACAATTGTAATATTGGAAACCTTGAAAAACCAATATTACAGGTATCATGCAGAAGAAATAGAACAGACCGCACCATCTCTATTCCTCCTGTGTTTTGCATAGCATTCCTTTGCCTCTCTGCACTTTGCCTGTACAACTAATTTAGGTATATCGTTGCCTCCCCCTTTCTCCTGCCTTATGCTTAGATTGACATACTATATGATCTGCATGACTTTACCACTTATGACATGGCTAGGTTTCACGGTTAGGTTAAACAGAGTTTTATGAGTTTTTTTTTAAATTATTTTCGGAGTGTTTCTGAGTTATTTTTATTTGCTTTAGCCCAAGTCACCAAAGATGACAATGTAAAGATGTAAAGAAAAATGGAGAAAAGTCCATTTCAGGGCCTGGGTAAAATGACAAAGCCTGTTATGATCTATAGGTGAAAGGGAGGCAAGAACAAGGATCCTAAGAGCCTACTGTAAGTACATGTTTGGTGCTGAATAACAGTTGAGCATCAAGGTGACAAATGTTTAAAATGATTAGTCTTGAGAATGTTCAAATAGACTGATGGACTGAATGGCCTCCTCCTGATTGTAACCTCAATTATATTCTTGTGAAATTTAAGTCAATCCAGTGTTTTCAGATGACGTTTTCATACACACTCCTTCATGCTAGCCTTAAGAGTGGAAGAGTGAAACTGCACTGTGCTTTTTAGGATTATAAATAAAAAATTATTTAAATTGTTTTAATAAGTACATAATATTAACAATATGCAACCAACTACAATGATTAAAATGCTTCTACATAGAGGATAAGGCTGGGTGCATGCCGGTTGGGCTCCTATCACTGATATTGCTGTAGTTCAGCAGATATTATGTTCTAGTAACGTACCTTTTGACAGTGCAAGGGAGTGCCAGAATCCACAGGTCACCTGGACTATCTGTACTTCTGATAAACACTTGATATTTCTGTGAATAAACAGAAGATAACTGTGAGTTAATAAAAAATGCTCATTAATCATGCTCAGAACTGTTGGGGAGAATGAGGCAGCTAGAGTCCAGTTCTTTACCCTACAGTAAATGTGGATCCTCCTACACATGGCTAATTTTACCTAGACCACATACAAACTGTGGAGTCTGGGGTTCCTGTATGGGCCCTGGCCTCTCATATTTTCATAAATATCATACAATGTTTTCCCAGCCTTTTATTTGTGAACACTGAGGTTTGATTTATATTGTTAACATTCTGGCTTGATTTCCCATTTTAAAAGAGATGTTTCTTATACTGCTGTGATCTCATCATTTCCTCTGGAGTGATGAGCACCACTGAACATTGTAAATAAAAGATTAAGATTGTGCACAAAAGAGTCTGGACTGCAGAAGCTTTTTTGATTACTGACTCTCCAAAAATAAAATGAAGGAACAAGTGGTGGGGCATTACTAGCTAAATTATTTCAAGCAAAAGCAGAAAATCACCACACAAAGGAAGGTTGTAGCCATCACCAGACATCAATGCAGGCTTACTGCATAATATTAATAAAATACTACTATACACCATGTGGTTATCACATTAAAGAGGAAGCAATTTATCGCTGTGGTTTGGGGTCATCCAAATGAAAATAAAAAGATCTGAATCCTGCTGTGAAGTGAAAGAGTTGGAATTCATGTCAAGCTTTCATGCAATATTTTTGCTACAACCAAGAACGAGAAGAACATATACTGTATCTTCTCATTATGAGACAAGACATCATTATACATTTTGTCATATAAATTACAAACTGTAACAGCATGTAAGCATTGGAAAGAAGTGAAATATCATTCAGGGCTAACAAGTAAAATTATGAGGATAATGCATAACACTACCATGAAAAACTATACTGATTACTTGGCCAAGCAGTATGTAATGCCGTTTTCCAGTTTCAATGATACATCACTGTTACACTCCACACTTCCTGTTACATTACATACTTATTGGAGCCTCTATTAGGAAGATCTGAAACAGAAAAGATAACCAGGAAACTTCTAAGCTGACTTAAAAGAAATATGGATAAATGGTTGTGTGAGCTCTACATGAATTTGTAAAAGCTGAGCAAAACAATATTGTTACACCCATTGGAGGGGACTATTGGGTTGGCTAAGAATTAAGAGACAATGGTCAATATCTAGAGAGCGTCAACATTTGCAGTTCCTGGGACCTTCAAGAAAGGAACTGGGGTGGAGTGTTTAAAAAATTGATCAAAGGAATTGTCTAGTTTACCTTTGTTAATTAAATTCAAGGTCAATTATTAAGAGTCATCAACAGTACAGCAAGGATAAAAAGAAAGAAAGGAGAGAGGACGAACAGAAAGACCCAAGGAGAGAGAATGTTGGGGTTCAAAACAATAGTGCTCATATAATGAACAGTACATTATATGTATTCAGAGATTAATACAGAGATTAACTGTTCTCATAAGACACCAGAGAGACCCGTGATCTGAAAACTCATATAGCCCAGAAAAGAGAAAATTAGTTGGCCCTATTATTTTAAGGGCCAGTTTTGCTTGGAAAGGACTCAGGGCTCTCTCTGCAGGTTTGCAGTGACTTCAGTGAAAGATGCACCTCCTGGAAATTGCTGCAGAGCCAGCAGGAGGTCAAACACTGAATAGCTACAGTAAATGGGTGTGTTGAAGGAGCATGTTTGTACCTCTCCAATGCCTTGTGTAGGTACAGAGGTCATAGCTGTAACTTAAGACATGAAGACAGAATAGCTGAACTGGGTGGGTGCATGTTAAAAAAAATAACATTGATTTTAAATTTTACAAAAAAGAAAGGTCACTTAATATGACTATAAGTCAGGTTCTCTTGTCAAGGAGAAGGCAGAGGAGTCACCTGGGGACCCGAATGCACTCTTCTGCTCCTGGCAGGCCCAGCTGTCCATCTGAAGCCAGGCCCCAAGCAAATACCTGGCCCTTGTCGTTCAAGGCAAGCGTGTGGGCCTCTCCGCAGGAAACTGCCACAATGTTCTGAGCATCCAGGGCCCCAACCTGCTCTACAGACACAAGGAGACACCAGCTGACCGGCCTTTCCTGGCAACTTTACTTCACACCTCGCTCAGTGGTTTATGTAATCTGTGATGGCCACTGCAGGGCACACAGGTGTACAATCATATGCTTCTGCTGCTCCAAAGGAGCGCACAGAGCACTAAGCAAGGAAGCCCCATATGGTTTGTTTTAAAAATATGTAAAACACCTAATTTATGTTGGTCACTGAAATAACTCTAAGTATACCCAGAATTTTGTCCTAAATAAAGCCGGCTTGAATGAGACTTTTTCCATAATATAAAAATATATTTCTAAAACATCCCATGAATAGTGTTTGATTTTATGGAACAAAAAGGTCAAGATCCGTTGTAGAAACACCTTCTATCACAGTTATTCCACTTCACCACTCATCATTCCCATGTTTCGACTGATTAAAAAGTATATCCTTTATCAACGAATCTAGAATAAATTCAAGAAGGTGGCAGAGCTGAAAGGACACTGCTACAGGGGGATAACATTCCCCTTTATTTTAAGTGCAAGTGAACTACAAGAAAACTGCAAGGGAAAACAATTTGAAAAAAAATGCCTCTTTTTTAAAGCAGGACTGTAAACAAACTTATGATGTTGAACTGTTAATAAAGTTCCCTGTTTAACTTTTGGGCTCTTTAATAATTGCATACACTTAATGCTACTTTTGATTGGGTTTATATTACCTATACAACTTTCCTGAAGCATTGATTTGAGAACTGCCCAGTCAAGTTTTCCAAATCCCAGCACAGCTCTGAAAGGTTGGTGCTAGATTAACCCTGCAATTTATTCACTTTAGCTTTCTTATTGATTTCTTTACGGAGCATCTTCCTTGTCACTGCAACAAATTCACAATGTTTTCTTTAGCAAGTGTACACACATTGTACAGTATTGTACAGACAAGGAAAAGTAACTGTGCAGGCAGCATGAGGATAACACTATAACAGATTAAAAAAATCAAAGCCTGCCCTTCTGCTTTTAGTATTATTTTCTCATTTCATGTATATAAATCATTACCAAAAATTATAATTACTTTAACTTTGTTAGATACTTTAATATAAAAACATGAGTTTTTCACTACTAGCACAATACATAAAGTGTAATACATATTAGTATAAATGGTATTATAAAAAAAATCAGTCTCAATCTTTGATCTCAAATCTTGTACTATAGTTAGAGCAACAGTATGCTGAGAATTTGACAGTGAACTGGACAGCTTCAATATAGATGCATCAGGTCACACAGCAAGTATTATGATCTACATCAAACAGTGAGGAAGGCCAATATAATCATTGACTGTCATGACCACCCCTTGCACAATAAAATGGAACTCATTCCATATATATATACAGTAAGTGGAACAGAACTACAGTAAGTTATCCTTTATTCCCACAGCTACTAACCTGCTTCATTTTGTTCTATACAGTACGTTACTTACTGCATGTCTATCTCACACATAATGAACTGTAATGATTACTTAAGCTGCTTATTTGTTTTTCTCATGCTATGCAGGTGTGTTTCCTATTAATTGACGCGTTATGTTAAATGTAAATTTTTTTTACCTGCCTGCAAAGGAAATTTGCCATACTGTATGTGACAATAAAGGAAGTAAGCATGCATAATCCTACAAGTTATCTTTCTCTAACACAAGAGCATTTTAAAATGAAACAGGGCTCTCCCTGCTTGTTTCTGATAGACACCAGTATAACCCCCCCTAAATTCTGCTGTATGTGCAAAGACCTGGATGGGGAACGCATGGAATCAGCTTAGTCATCACAGGCATTTACAGTGTGACAGCAATCCCCTCCCCCTCAGCACACTAAAGCACCTCATTGGTGTGCTGCACAGTTAAGCAACAGAGAAACAGGGTGGTAAAACACAGAACCGAAACAGAAATCTGAAGGAGAAATGGAAAATAAAATCCCCAATTCCCTAATGAATATACAGAATGAAACATAAGCTACTAATCGTATTCAATTATTTGCCTTTATATTGAGCTAATTTGCTGATAGAAACTATCACTAGAAAAGCAAACACAACGAGGTATACAGTGTGAGCTTCAGAAAAAGAATTGTGGAGATTGCGTATACTTGAAAAACAATTCAGAAAGGAGACTTTAAGTAAAAAGCAACTCCAAAACGTGTTTATGATGGGATGTGAAAAAGTTGCCATTAATAACTGTTGCCAGAACTATTACTTTAAAAAAAACAGAATCTTTTCAGAGCTGTGCTGTAAGAATAGACAGGAGCTACCCTTTATAGGCCCCTCTGGTTACACTTTGAAGAACCATGTGGGTTTGTTTTATGAAGTCAGCTGGAATCTGGAATAAAATGTGGAATAGTACTAAGGAAATACAGTATACTGTACATAATAACAGAAATGTATCTGCTGAATAAAGGCTTCCAAGATCCTTCCATGAATTTCTGTCTTTGGGTGACATACAGTACATTTCTCCCTGAAAGTTTACTCCTCTATTACGCTATGTTCATCAGTGTAAAACTGACTGATAATATAGGCATTCTTACAAATCCAGTAGCTTCAATACATATTGTGCATTGATAAACAATGGAGCTTTAAATAAAATGTAGGTACATTCTGTGTTTTAATGTGACTTTTTTAATTAGACAAACATCAATAGGTTTGTTTAAACAACTGAGAGGATTTGCTAAACATGAGAGAAAATTAGAAAATCGCGAAATTTCAAAAGCACTTAGAAAATAAACACATATTTATATAATATTTTGTGTTTTCCATTAGTGGTTATCCTGCACAGTAGGGCAACACTGCCTAATCCATCAGTGAAAACAGTGAAAAATATAAAAATATGGAATATAGTGAAAAAGTCTGCATTTGAAGTCGAGACATATTTAAAATCTGCCACTTAACCTTCACTGCTACTGTTTTAAAACATCTCAAAGGTACAGCTTTTGTTTTGTACCTTTTGTTACTGCTATACAGTAAGTGACTAGGAAGTGTCTAAGAGTTCAGATAGAGTGTGTAACACCTGGCAGTGTAAACATTTCCAGCTTCAAAGCAGAGGGGATGTTAGCTCAGATGTAGAGGGTCCAGATACTGTGATCACAAAAATCATAAAGTTTACCTTAGTTTACCATAATTAAGTTCTGGACCATCATAAAATCAGCTCAAGACAACAGAACAAAAGGAAAAAAGGGGGGAAAAACCACCCCAAGAGAGACAAGGAGAGAACTTGAAACGTGTGCCAGGTGAGAGGTCTTTTTTCAAGATCATCTCAGAAGACCCGACTGGAGCTACAGTAAGTACTATTTCTGAATCTTGACAAGAGAGCTTTCTATTCTGTAGCTTCTAGGGAACTTGGTGTTCCTGAGTAAAAAATCCCTCAGTTTAAAATAGCCTGTCCTGCTTAGTGGGTGCATTTTAGAATAGGGAGATATTTTTTGTTTTGCACCTGGGTTTGCAGAGAAAGAGATTTTATCATAGGTTGTATTCTACTTGTTTTGAAGGCAGACACCATATTTTGAGAACTCCCTTCAATTCATGTGTTTTGTTTTAAAATAACATAAACATTATTTATTGCCTTGGGATACCGCTTTAACTATTACAACCTGGCATAAGGCAGGCCTGATGTTTACCTGAATTTGATGGAACATGATACTGTAGATGGCATAATTTCTCACACTATCATTCAACCATATCACTGACCATCCCATTCTTATAAATGATACAAAGGGAAAGTACGAAGAAGTGCATTTAAAAGTATAGGAGGTACTTTTTATTCAGAGATTTGTGGGAAATGGAACAAGCTATACAACCATTTTGTTAAGGCTGACACCCTGGTTTCTTTCAAGAAACAGGAGGATAAGGATCCTTGAATCAATTAGCTACATACTACCAAACGAGCCAGACATGCTACAACTGAGAGCAGGCCACTTGGCCTTTCTTATGTTTTTAACTGAACAGAATGATTTATCCTTGAACGGGACTCTGCTTGCAAAATCTTCTGTAGACCTGGGCTTCATCGTGTGCACCAGTGTTACAGAAATAAAAAAAAGGATTCTCACTGCTTACCTGGTTTCTTCCTGGACTTTTCGTGTCCTAGCTGTCCAAGGTCATTGCAGCCACAGGTATACACGGCCCCATCGTCCAGCACAAACACGGTGTGCCTGCGTCCGCACCCCACATCACAGACCTTCTTACCATTGAAGAACTCACAGTTCCGCGGCTCCACCACAATCTCTTCGTCAATCCCGCCCAAACCCAGCTGGCCAAAAGAAGCATTTCCCCAGCACAGCATGGCGCTCTGCCTCCTCCAGGCCAGTTCCCGCGTTTACGTTCAACAACCAGCGGGACTGTGCTGCTCTAACACTGGAAGCACAGGGAACAAGAACAGAGAAGAAACGAGTGTCTCTTGCAGTCAAGATATTCAGCAAAACTCATCCAGTTGTGAGCCGTTTGGTCAGGAGTAACCTTCTCCTTTGGCGTTCCGAGTTGGACTTTTGTACTGTCTTTTGGAAGTTGTTGCACTCGGGAACAAGAAAGTAATCAAGTTCTTTTAAAAGAAAGAGATCAGTGCTTCTCAAGTCCTTCTTGCTAGGAACCGCTTTGTAAAAAAAAATTGATTGCCAATTTGCTTTTGTTTCTGTTATTCTGCTATGGCTTTATGCTCCCCCATAGGAGAAAAAGTCACAGATATAATAATAACAACATAGCCAGATTTGTTGAAAAAAGTTATCTCTTGCCTCTCGTGTCCAGCTGCACCCCACGCTGTCACATTTACTGGTTGAGACATTCGGGAACTAAGCAGACCAGTAGTTAAGCCATCACTTACAAGATGTAAATGCCATGTCACTGAAACAAAGCAAATAAACTCAGAATGGTAATGTCAAAATCTAGTGATACTGCACAGCGGTGCAGTGGTTAGCATTGCTACCTCGCAGAGAGGGGGCCCTGGGTTTAATTCCTGACCCAGGGTGTAATCTGTGTGGAGTTTGTATGACACCCCGTACTTGCGTGGCTTTTCTGCGGGTGCACTGTTTTCCTTCCACAGTCCCAAGACATAGTGTTAGGTTAACTGGCTTTTAGGAAAATTGATGTGAGTGTGTGCATGTGTGTGTTTGTGTATGTCTGTGCCTAGTGTCCTGTCTGGAGTGTGTCCTGCCTTGCGCCCATTACTTTCTGGAATCGGCTCTTGCTCTCTTGTGACACTGTATTGAATAAAGCGTTCAGAAAATGGATAGATGGATGATAAAAACTTTACCACAGGATAACATCTCCCAAATTAAACCAGTCACTGCAGTTCAGATAAAGATGAATAAATTAGAACAGTACTTTTTTATCAATATATTACTATGTATGATTATTATAAACGTTTTTTCCATAAATCTACTGTATTACTTATGGAGACTGAAAATGAGAAGTTAAATAAAATGGACCTGTCATGTAAGCAAAGTCAGCAATGGCAAAGAATTAGGAAGAAGAGATTAACAGATAGGAGGGTTTCCATAGTTTTGCTGACCTAGAGGATGACAAAATGACCCAAATGCAGATCCTAGATTGTACATACTGTATAGTACAGCAATGATAAATCAATGTAAAACAAATAGTAATTTTAGCTGTTTTTATGAGTTTTAAAAAACTCATAAAAAGGTTAGTGTGTACAGTTAATATTATAATCTTAATTTGCTTTTAAACTTTATAAAATTATACAGGGCTTTTCAATCTCCAACAATTTCATGACATCACAGATTTGTACTTGAGAAAAAATTCAGAGTGACTGACGTATTGCATGAAAATTGCAACACTCATACCAGGTCTTAGTTCTGTGTAATACTGCAACAGGAATTGCATCAAATGCAGCATGTTTTCGGCCCTGAAGAAAACGGAACTGAACAACAAAGTAGCCAAGGTTTGTGACATCCACCTCCATTTCAACATTAGACAAATTAAGGCTTCAAAGTATTTTTGTCTGGGTAGTAATTATTGAATCTCTGATTCTGGAGAGGTACATCTAGAAGGTTTTATGGATCTCCCTTCAAGCATTTTCAATGTCTAGGCACTTGGATCAATTTCATTTCACCCAGCTGGTTTGTTCAGTAATCATTAGAACTGTAAATGATGAACAGCCTGCCATTCTTAAGGATTAATGGCTGGCCATTTCTGACCTTTCTCAATCAAATAACTTGCTCAGCTGATCAAACCTTGTTGTTCCAATTTTTCCAATGTTTAAGGGAGACCTACTGTACAACCTCCTGCAGTAGGCTCTTAAAACCTTAAGGTTGGCCACGCCTCGTTATTTTCTTCAACCTGGAGGTGCTGATTCTGGAGAGTTACTGTGTCTGCAGGATTCATTCCAACTAACTCGCAGTAAGCCATATCAACTCATTGTGGGCATAACTGGCTCAACTTAACAGCGTTTCTGTCCTCGCTCTTCATGTACTGGTGTTCTAAAGAAAAATGAACACACAAAATCCAGGCCTGCACACATCTGCTATATCAACATGCTAGTACAGCTGCCCTTAGACAAAAAGATTAATTTCATGAACATTACCAACAACAATGTTAACTGCCCCTAAAACCTTTATTCAATATTCTTGACAGTTTCCACTATCTGTGTAAGCCCCGGTGTACAGCAATGCCTATGACTCAGGAAACTTGTTTTCAATTACTTACAAAGACAACTGGCTGGTCAGTTGTCTTTCTGATGTTGTCAGACTGACTGACTGGACAGTATGAGAATGAAGTCAGTTGCCTCTTTCATTCAGCCACCAGTCAACGAGGCACCTGAAAACTGTACATCTGTTTCCTGGAACAACAAAACATACCATGTGTTAGCATTACTGAACTGCAAGCGAAAAAATGTAATGTAAGTGAAAGACTTGTACATGCAGGCAGACAACAAAAGGCAGAAAAACAAGAAAAACTCCCAGAAAACAAAAGTTGTTACAGCCCAATGAGAAGACTTCATCTAGCTACATGAAAATAGTAGCAGCCTATACCTAATTACTAAATTAAGCATAGTGATACATAAGAATTACCCCCTGATCACTAAATGATTCGAGACCTCGTTATATTTTGTATAACTCGCTTTGCATAAAGTCATGTGATTTCACAAGAGCAGGGGGCCAAGTAGATAGGCGAGTGCCATGTGTGGGGTCATAGACACGCTGTACGTATTGTACACTTGATGATTTCAGCTCGTTTATAGCTGTATAGGTACAAGGTTTCTCGAACGTATTTCGCAGGTTATTCTTCTCAGCAGGCTCTGAAGAGACGAAAGATGTCATTTAAACAACGTAACGATACAGTACGTCGTTGCTCTTGGTATAGGAATCGGGAGTGTGTGTGGAGAGGTACCACGACGAACGTTTCTGAACACTATCGGCGCAGTTAAGCGAGTGTTTAGCGTTCACTACAGGCGTGTCGCCTCGCTGGTAGTTATTAAAGCCCAGTGCCAACCCTGAGTCACAGGATAACTTTAACCCCGCAGCACAGCAGCAACTTGAAGGTTCCAGAACTGTGGCGAAATGATGCGGCTGCGACAGATAGCGACTCCCTGGATTAACAGACTTCACAATAGCCTTGGCACTTGCTTGTCTGACAGTCCTGTACAGTATGAAATTTTTCGCGTTTCTTATTTAGCCCCTGTTACTTCTAAATTTCACGTAAGGCATTTTACAGTTTTACCTGTGACTGCAAGGGAAGACATTACCACTACTGCTTAGTTACGACCGCCTCTAGTCCCAGGAGTTCAAGATATTTCTGAGAGGACGAACTACAGGCCTCACAGCGTTAGCCTACTACGATAGAATTCATTTTCCACATTAACATAAAAATGTTTCTTCCTATGCATGTGTTAGGCATTACTTTGAATGCTTTTGATTGATCGCCGTTTTATTAAGGCAGGAAAAGATAAGCACCTAACATAGGAGAATTGCACAGCTACATTTTGTTTCTGTATTAGATGCAAAAACGAAGTTCATTCAGACTTCTTACTCTTAGGTAGGAATTCATTCCGCAAATACATGCACACACATTGACTATACACTGACAGGTTCATAACTTTAGTGTTACATACAGAAAGCGGGGTCATCTGCCAGCCAGCATAACACGAAACAGCTTTATTCCTATTTTATTTTAAAGAAAAAAAAACAATATCCAAATTACTTCTATGCAGGCACTAAAATCTATTTAGCTTGTACCTTATCGTTTTTATTACGACTAAACACCATCATCTCGATGCATTTAATCTTACCTGAAAATGTGTCTGTTCAGTGTTACACCACCATGGGGAATATTTTGTCTGTCTTGTCTTCTACGTTAGTCCCACACTATTCTCACTGCAAACACCTCCTGGCACAACAGCGAGTTGAGGCCGTGGTCAACAATTGCTGTAAGGGAGTTGACGAAACAGGAGAAAATATAGGAGCTTCTTCTATTTTCTGAATGTTATGAATTTGCTTCTAGAAGCTGCATATACTCTACAGCTCATATCATTGCCCCGGACGTGACGATATGACAGCAACACCCACAACGCGCTCTTTCCTCCCCTCCGAGGCTCTCTCGCAAATTCTAGACTTCTGTCGGCGCTGTTGCAGAGCTGTCCTACAAAGTACTCATGCGTTGTAGCACCCAGAAGGTGCTGGGGCTTGTGTTAAAGACGTGAGGTTGTTTCAGTACGGGGCCTGCAGGGATGGCACGCCTTTGTGTTCGGAACAGTTGGAGACGTGGACGATTTAAATGTTCACCCAGAACAGATTGAAAATGATTAAACAGCATGTCGTGATCGGGCCTCAAAGGGGATTATAACCGGTACGGTGTACACTAATGTGTTGTGTAGCTCTAACTGCAGTTTGTTTACCTTTGTTATTTAAAATAAAACGCAGATTAAATACAAATCAGAATTATGTGGTGTTTATATGTACATAATGTAATTTTTGCCCTTAGAATGTACAGCAGTACAGCACCATGACCAGTAGTTATTAGTATTGCATTGTTATTAGTAAAAGCATTGCTAGTCAACATATTTGAACTGAAGCTTTTATCGTACGCGCATGGATTTACACTGATTTCAATGAAATAATCATGAGGTACTGTACCAACAGGCCTTATCGATTTTCTTCGTATTATTATTCAAATGGCTAAGCACTGTCACAGTAGTCCAGTTTCCATAGTAACAATAGCAACTTGGATTCTGCTTCAGTTTTTGGAAGAAATGGCTAATGTTGTAGCATTTCTGTGTGCTAAGCTTGTATATATTTATAGATAATGTATCAATCACAAAGCTGCACACAACCTATGAGGTTTTTTTTTTTCTGGAATCATGTTCTTTGAAAATATAGTTTTAGTCAACAATACAATTATTTAGAGTCAAGCGTGAAGACTACCTATCAGACATTTAATTATATGATTATTCATTACATTAACCATATTACATTAACCAAAGAAAATGACCATATGTTTTGTCTAAGTTATGAACAACAATAATAATACATTTCTGTGTTTTGGAAGGTTGTTAAGAAGGTTTGTATTTTAGGGGATGAAGGTCCCCCGAGAGTTTCTTTGACTTAAAACGTATGGCTATTGTTTTGTTGTTGTGCATGATTCTGCATTGTTTAAAATCACAACAACCTGTAGTGCATTATGGAATCTAGTACACATACCAGAAGAGGAAGCTTTAATATGCTCTTATAAATACCTATAACATTTTAGGAATTGAGTTTAAGCAATTTGGGACTGTATGTCTCTACACAAGCTTTGACTCATAAAATGGACAGACAAAATCATTTGGAAAACTGCACTTCTTATTAGAAGTGTTTTGCAATTAATTTTTTGTATGTTAATTTCCTAAACTAGTTTCATTGTGTCGGTTCAGCATTCATCCTCTTTGCTCTCACTTAATTCTGTACTAAAGTAGATTGGTCCACTAGCTCAGTCTGGCTTACCTAAATTTCCCCCTATCTCATCTTATGAAAGAATAAGATCATACAATGTTAAAAACAGGAGGAAGCCATATTGCCCATCTAGTTTGGCTGCAAGTAGGAAATTCATCCAAAAATCTCATCCAGCTATTTCTATCAAAGTAATTCATTTCATCTAATCTGCTGTGAGGTGGGAATGTTGGCACAAAATGGCTGCTTCTCATCAACCTAGTGGGCATTGCACTTCAGTGGAAGAGTAAGAGAAATATCCACCTATTTACAGCATTTGAAGTACTGTGTGATCTTTTGAGTTGAAGGGCACCAAATTCATTATATCATTATTTATTATTAATAATGTTGGTAATTTAAAACAAAATGTGTACTGATTTCAAAAGTGACAAACAAAAATAAGAACCAAAACAAGCAAGGTAAAAATCTCAGTTGAAAGAGGGTAGTTATGCAATGCAAGATTACAGTTATTTTCAAGTTTTTCTGGTTTCCACTTTCAAGTCATCGGTCTCCATAAGAACCCACAATAAAACATAACATGAAACTGAACTCTATAACAATTAAAAGATCTACTATTAATTCTGAATATTAGATGCAGATTTCCATTCCTATAGATTCAAAGTGATTGTAACCAATATTTGATTTTAAGAGATTTGTAGCGTAAATATTGGCTTTTTTTTCTGGGGGCCACTTTTGCACATTGTTTTATGAAATCCTAGATACTCTCAGATACCTTTTTTACATTTTGAAACTTTATTTCAACAGATATACCGTACAATGTATATTCTTGTGAGCAGTAACTATTATTATCACAACAGCAATTCAGCAACGCAGAATGCAGTATTAAAAAGAACAGCAGATTAAATTATCATAGATACATAATAATGATAACAATAATAAATTAGTGAATAATGATTATTAGTGTACTAATCTTATATCCAAGAACTGTCTCCACCCCAAATCCAGCTGTACTTGCTGAGCAGGCTAACAAACCCACTATGTAAAGACTGAGTTTGGTCTGAAATAATTTGGTTTATCCTTTAACGACAAAGTTAGTCTTGATTGGAAAAAGCTTATATACAAGGCCTTCTCTGACTCCTCTCTGATTCCCTGGTCTCTTGCTGAAACACAACTTAATGATGACTGATTTTCTTAATTTTGCTTTGTATGACCACCAGATGTTGCTATGTGCACATTAAATTTCTTATACTTTTCTAGTTTCTAGAGAGTTAACCTGTTATCAAATATAATAAATGAAATCTAATTCCCAAAGAAAGTCATGTCACTTTTTAGATGTACCACTAAATACTACTGTATGTGAATTTTATTAATAATTTTATTAACGATTATTAAATTTCAACATCAATAAACACCTAAACTGTGGGATTAGCATCTGAACCTTAAAAACTGTTTTTTTATTTCATTACAGTCCTGAAAGAAGTGGTCAGTCTGTCCACAAATCGTTTTGAGAAACTGTCTTGGTCTGTGATTTTCCAAGATCAATATGTGGTTTCAAGATTAATATTACGTTACAATAGCTGGATAGCCAGAAAACAAGCAAGACAAAAACATTTATACACTGGGTTACAACAAAAATTCTAACCAAAATTATAATCTTTAGCAACAGCTTTGAAAAGATTTCAGGGCTCACATAAAACCACCTTTAAGCTCTGCATTTGTGTAAAGAATCAATTATTGCATAACACCTGTTCTGCAAACTGATGGTGGTTAGGTACCCGGAAGCTGTGTATGTTTATACCTAATATTTACCCTGAACATAAATAAGGTAAAAGGCAATTGGTGGGCATTTAGAGTTCAGACACAGGTGAGTAATGATGATGTTTTCAAACCTCGCATTGGAGAAAGACTTATAGGAAAGTATCACCTGTAACTTGTAAGATGAATTAGATGGGATCTGCTTATTGATACACACAGTGCATAAATGGAATATCTAAAACTACATAATTATATTCTTCTCATTAGAAATTATTACTCTACATGAGAATTATGAAAATATTTATTTTCTTCTAAAATTAGATTCTTTCTGAAACTGTTTATTAAATCTCTGGGGTTTTGGGGTCATTCAGGAGAAAGTTTTACATCAAGAAACCAAATTTAAAAAACCCAGGTGGTCTTATACAGTATGTAACCTTTAAATCACCAGTTTGCAAACACTTGGAACACATATGAGTTTGGATCAGTTTTGTTAAGTTAATTGGTTCCACTAATGCAGGAAAGCATAACTGGATCTGTAGGGTGTAACTTGAGAAGTGTAGGATGTTTCTATATTCATTCAACAGATCTCTTGCTTACAGTATACGTGCAAAATAAAAATGATCATAGCTACCAAAAATCGATGATTTAAGGGTGACCTATAAAATCTGACGATTGTGCTCCATAACCAGAGTTTGTCACACCTGCCGAAAAAAAAAATCCATCCATCCATTTTCTAACAGCTTCTTCCAATTCAGGGTGGCAGGGGAACTGGACTCAATGGGCACAAGGCAGGATACACCCTGGATGGGACACCATGCCATTGCAAGCACACAGACATAAACACACACACATTCACAACAAGGCCGATTTTCCCTGAAGCGATTAACCTACCAGTGTATTTTGGACTGTAGTAGGAAACCAGAGCACCCAAAGGAACCGATGTTAACATGGGGAGAACATACAAAGTCCATGCAGATACCACCTCAGGTCCAGAATTGAACTCGGCGCTACAAGGCAGTAATGCTGAAAATGTGCCACCATACAGCTCTTGTATAAAAATAAAATGTTTTCAATCCAATTAGGTTAAAATGTATTTTAAATAAAAATTCATAAATGGAATTTTGCATTTTTGTTTTGCTAATGTCTCTCTGTAAGGCAATTAAAAATAAAAAGTTTAATGTGTTTAATGCTTTATGTTTTGTCTTTCTTTTTCCTAGTGAAGAATAATACATTCTTTTTCAGCTGAAGGATATCCCTTATATTTATGTCTGTCTATTGTGTCTTTCATAAATAATTCAGTATCTGCTAAATGTATTACATATTTGCATTTTTTTTGCTTCAAGCTATTTTTGGTATATGACTATACTGAGTAATAGATGCATAATAAATATTTAATACATTTTTGAAAGTGCAAAATATTTACTTCATAAATTACTTTGTTTCAAACATTTTAAATGAATCCATTTTGTGATTACTATATTGGTGTCATATACTAAAAATCACACTAAACACAAGAATGTATTTCTCAAATCTTTATTGTTGTTATGCTGCTTAAGCAATCTGTACCACAGGACCATTATTTTTGTGGAATATTTCAACATGCCACAATCAAAGAAAAAATGTCTTATTTTATTTTTTAATTGCATTGTTTTGTTGTAATATTTATATGAATTATATTGTCTGAAAACACAGCAAAAAATAAAAAATGTGAAACTGTATTGATTAACAAAATATACATTTTACTATGCTATAGATCTATATAAGCAACATACTGTACTGTATCATATTTAAGCAAGTATAAGAACATATGATGTACAGTATCACATATGCTGTAATTCAACACATTACAAATACATTTGCTTTTCATCTGGGCATGTTCTTTTTAACACTCTTCCAGGAGGCTTTCAATGTTTTTAATTTCTATAATAGTTGATGAGATGATATTTCATGGAAATTACATCTACAAATCTAACATATGTATGCGGTAGCTCTAACTAAGAAAATTAGTCAATTACATACAGACATCATCTGCATGGCAATGCTGAAAATGGGATTTCTGACAAGTGTGAGCCCTGTGTGAACAGCGACTGCCCTTAAGCTGGTGAGCAGCTAGAAATAAATGGGTTTTGGAACCAGTTCAGATGGATCTGCTGTTGTAAACATGTAATGATATTTGAGAGACTCTGCCTTGTGTGCAAATTCATTAGCTAGTATCATTCCAGATATGAGGTTTATAGATAAACAAA